TAATCTTGTTAATATAGGTGCCTTTTAAGCTAGAGTAGGCTTTAAAGTAATTATTAAGCTTGCTGTCTTTGTCAAGGGACAGCTAGTAAGGTCTTAAGTAAGACCTTTGACTAGAGGCCTGGTAAGACCTTTGATTAGGCTCTTGGCAAGCTCTTTAAGCTGGATTTGCAGCTATATTCTTAGGCTAGAGGGTAGCTAGTTAGCTCTCTTAGACTATACTTAGGCCTAGCATACTAGTAGGTTGCAATAACTTGTCGTTAGTCTCTAAATCTAGGCTAGTAAGTTGCTGCGCTTTGTTGCAAAGCTTTACTGCTTTAACAAAAGCAGCTAGCTAGTTACTTAAAATATAAGCGCTATTTATGTAGTATTAGATCTGCCTATGCAAGTAGAAGTAGACATAGTTGATATTGTAGGCTAGGTAGCTCTTTAGGTTTGTAGCAGTAAAAGCTACTTGTCTAGCTAGTAAGGCAGTAGTAGGAAAGTCTAACGCAAGGCTAGCGGCAAAGTCAACGCTAGGTTAATTAGGCGCGCTAGCGTTATTATTGTTATTTGACATTGTGGAATTTAGTAAGGTTAGTGTATTGAATTAAAAGCAAAAGCATGCTGTATAGCAAGCTTGTTGAAAGAGGCTTTAAAGTTGTAACAGGTTGCAAGACTTAGGTTGGCAGCAAGATAAAGGCATAGAAGTGATTAGTCTAACTGACTTATACAAGGTGGCTAATTGGCATGGGTTTTGAGAGAGAAGGCAGTTGCGACAGTATTGCTAGTAAATCAGGTAAGAAACTATCTCAAGTAGCCTTTTAGCTAGAATGTATATTAAAGCCTGCTCTTGTAAACCTTTAGGCAAGTCTATTGCAGTCTTTAACTTAAAGCTGCCTAGCAGTCCCTATGCAAGCCCCTTGCAAAGACCTTATAAGACTGTTGACTAGGCTAGCTAGACCTTCCTACCTTGCAAGGCAGGACTATACTAATTACAAGGCTTTCCAATTAAAGGCTGCGCTTGCGCTAATCACTTAAAGCTACTTATGCGGCAAACTAAGCTACCTTAGCCACTAGGCTTTCCTAGGCCTAGCGCGTAGAGGCTAAGGCAATATTGACCTAGGCTTTTAGGGCGTAACAGTTGCTACCTTTTATACCTTCTTTGCATTTATTGTCTTCTTTAATGCTACTACCTTATCTTGCTACTTAACCACTAACTAATACAACTAATATCTACACTACCTTAATAACTGCTAAATACTTTGGCATGTAATCCTTTAGCTTATACCAACTGTTATTATTATGCAATTCTAACACTGCTAAACTGCTAATTAATACACTTTTGTATAGCATGTCTTTGTATTAATAGTTAAAAAATGCAACTATTGCATCTAAATACAACTAGTCTATCTAGTCTACCTAGTCTTCACGCCTCTGCCACTCTATCTTATCTAACAGCATTATGCTCTCTACCTGCATACGCTTTTCTACTGCCTTGCAAAACTTGTCAAACAAATTACCTTGCTTTTTGGTAAATATATATAGCAGCTAATTCTTATCATCCTATTCTTATATCTGCTGCATATAACATAACAACTTGCAGTATACTTTTTTGTAATCTGCCTACATATCTTTCTCTATCTGCCTATTAAACAGCTTCTTCTATTTAACATAAACTTCCTTTTTGTTAATCTTGAATAACATTGCATGCCTATACTGCTTTACTACTGCCTCTTTTGCCTACTCTATTACCTGCTTTATGCTTTTCCACATCTGCTATAACATTACTTTGTCCTTGCTAATTAGCTTAACTATACTGCGCAACTAAGCTAAGTCTAAACCTTTTAAATGCATTAGCCAACTAATGCAGCCTAACTACCTATTTAGCTTAGCCTTCTTATTGCTTATCTTAATTAACTGCCTTTTTGACTTAAACTGCACTATCTAAGTTGCATAAATTTATATCAGCTACTTTTTTAATGTTTTTGCACTTACCTTTGCTACTACTACTAGCTTGCTACCCTAGCTAACCTTAAAATAACTACTTCTAAAGCCTAACTAGAAAAATCACTAACAATACATGCCTATTATCTATAGTATAACCTGCTTTTGCTTTGCTTTTTTTACTACATTACTGCCTTTACTCTAATTATTTGCCTATCTATAATCATTCTAGCAATATTGCTGCATTTCTTTTACCTTTATGCTAACAAAGTTGCATTAGTTGCACTTTAAACTAACAACTAGTAGCTTAATAAACAAGATAGGTAAAATGGTAGGTAGTAAGAACTTAAACTCTTTCAACTTATCCTAGGTTCTTGTAATGTCTAGGATTTGGCTTATCAATTCTGCAATCCTTAACTATTTGCTAGGCTTGATAGACTTATGCTTTGCTTGCAAATAACTAACAATCTTGCCTGCTATGCATTTAATTCCACACTTGCATATTAGAAATAAGTATTTAGGCAAACAAACAAATAGCTCTATAGTAGTTTAAATGCATGTCTTAGCTAACTACTAAATGGTTACAACTATAGCCTTACACTACTATTTGCCTCTATTTACCCTAGACAACAAGCTAATGCATTGTTAGCCTCTATAACGCTATACTAGCTTAGGTAATGCTAACAAACAAAACCTATAGCTTTTCCTACCTACAAGCATTTTACTAACTTAAAAATAGCACTAAAGATTTTGCCTGCATTTAAGCTTTATACGCATATCAATTTTGTCAATTTTACTGCTAAAAATGTCTACAAGCTCTACCTTCTATTTCTCTACAAACTCTGCCTCCTATCTTTACTAGCGCCATTTCAAATTACATAACGTTTTCTACAAGCATAGCCTATGCTTGTCGCTGTATTTGAAGGTAAAGGCTTTAAAGTTATAACAGGTTGCAAGACTTAGGTTAGCAGCAAAACAGAAGCATAGAGGTAATTAGTCTAACTAACTTATACAAGGTAGCTAATTAGCATAGGTTTTAAAAGAGAAGGCAGTTGCGACAGTATTGCTAGTAAATTAGATAGGAAACTATCTTAAGTAGCTTTTGGCTAGAATGTATATTAAAGCTTGCCTTTGTAAACCTTTAGGCAAGTCTATTGCAGTCTTTAACTTAAAGCTACCTAGCAGTCTCTACGCAAGCCTCTTGCAAAGACCTTGTAAGACTGTCAACTAGGCTAGCTAAACTTTCCTACCCTGCAAGGTAAAACTATACTAATTACAAGGCTTTCCAATTAAAAGCTATGCTTGCGTTAATCACTTAAAGCTACTTATGCAGCAGACTAAGCTACCTTAGCTACTAGGCTTTTCCAAGCCTTGCGCGTAAAAGCTAAAGCAATATTAACCTAGGCTTTCAAAGCGTAACAGTTTGCCTTTTAAATATAGTTTTAAGCAATAATAGCTATATTTATTATATTATAACTGCAAGCATTTTAATATATAAATATAGCTTTATATATCTAAATAGCTATTTTAGAATACTAAGTATAGTATAAAAGCAAAGTAGTAGGTTTGCATATATATTGCTACTAATATGCTACTTAATTAACTATATTAAAAATAAAAAAACAGCTTAGTTAAATGCTATGTTTTGCAAATTAGTAGCATTTTTACTTTTTTTTTTCTTTTTATCTTTTGCTTTTTTTTTTCTTTACTACTAAAAAAGCTGCTATTGTTGCTACTGCTAATGCTTTTGCTGTCTAGCTTATATATAATATTGCCTAGCAAGCTTTACTACTTGTCTATAAAGCTAACATCTTACTACTTAAATACCTTTTTATGCTTTAGTTAATATGCTTGCTAGTAAAAGCTTAAATAGCATTGCCTAATAGCATAGTATTTGCTTATTAATGCCTTTTTACTTTTGCATTTAAATAGCATGCTATTTAATACTATTGTTAAGATGCTAGCTAACTATTAAAGCGTTTTGGTTAGCATATTGTTTAGCTGCTAGTAGCAATGCTTAATCTTATAGTTAAAGCTTTTTCTAAATAGTATTAGCAATAATTATTTTCTTGCAGCTTTTTTGTCTTTGCTATATATTTGCTAACTTTTTGCATTTATTGCATTAACTTATTTTACTATGCTGTAAACCTTAAGCAAGTTGCATATACTAAAATATTGCATTTATCTAGTCTGCTTAACTTATAGCAAGTTTTAGTTTAAGCTTTCTTTTATATTGCTTTTTTAAAGCTATGCAGTATTTTTAGCCTTAAGCTTTGCCTTGTACTTTATAATTATAATCTCTATTGCATTGTCTTTAGTTATACTATTGTTTTTTTTATTGTTATTGCCTTTAGCAACAATCTAGTAATGCAAAAGCTAGCATTATATAAATAACTATAACTGCAACTGCATTTTTTTTATAGTATAGCCTATCTAACTTATAAATAGCTATTTTTTAATAATATATAATATTGTCTTGCATAGCTATAAAATACTAGTATTGCTTGTAGCTATAACTATACAATATATATAGCATTTTAATAAATGCTAACTTGTTTGCTAAAAGTATATCTAGCAGGTTATTTAAATCTATTATGCTAAAGTAGTTTTTAATCTAAGCTAAAACTTGACTAATTATTTTGTAAGTATAGAAATATTGTTTAATTTTATCTTTTAAATGCACTATACTATTGCATAAATAGCATACTAATATGTTATGCTTTTTAACTAGCATTACTATTTCTTCTATTATCTTTTTAACCATTTTGGCAGCATTGGTTAAACTTAAGCAGAAAATTATTGTATATTGGGATATTTAGGCAATAATAGTTAAACAAATGGCAAAACCAAGCTATATTTATTGTTATGTCAATTAGCTGCACTGTCTTTGCTTTATTTCCTATTGCATATCTATGTTGCAAACCTTTAAACCTATCCTAAACGCTATTGCAATGTAGAAATAAGTTATTACAGATAACCCTAACCTGACAAAACATAGGCTTTACCTTAACTTTTTTAAGACTAATCAATGCTTTGGCTTGGACGCAACTGATTTGAACAGAATTAACCTTAGACCTTAGGGTTATGGAAGACAACCCTAAGACGATTTAGGCCAAATCGCCAAGTCATAGTTCCTAGAGTCTTCTGCGCTTTTCTGTTTCTAGAAATCTCCATGACGCTGCTGGATGTTAGTGATACCTAGTTTCTTGCAAGACCTAAGTCTACGGCAAGGAGCGTGTAGATGCGAGAGCAGAGGCCGCTATTTGGCGATTTCATGCCTAGTTTACCGCCATCGAGAAAGCCTTTCTTGAGATAGTCCACTGTCTTCTCCAGAGACAAGCCTCTCTCTTTGATGTAGTGCTCCTCAATGAAGGCGACGGTGTCCAATCCGACCTCTGTCTCAAGGTCAGCACATCTCCTAATCCAATTCCGATCGGCAAGGGTAGCTGTATACAGTCCATCATTTGACAGGGGCCATGGTCGCCCCTAGAAAACATGCTGACCCACAGTTCGTCGATCTCTGACGGAACGGAGACGCCCTCGGCGAGGATGGTCAAAACCTCTCTCTTCACTGCTGCCCAAAGACGATTGAAGATAAGTCCGGTCCTGATTCCCTCCTGGCGACGTAGGGTCCCGTGCCGGCATCTTCTGCCGTGCAACCAGAAACGATATGACTTCGGGGTCCGTGTAGCCGTCCGTCATAAGCTCGACGGTCATCGCGTCCGGAGGCATGTAGTAGTGGGTGTTTAGAATGCGCATCTTGGTGTCGTCCTTGACCTTTTCCCGCATTTCGCCGGATATATACGAAGACTAGTTGGACGCAAGGATGGCATCTTTGGGCGCGGCTGACTCCAATTCGGAAAAGGTTGAAATCTTGAGGTCGAGCTTCTCGGGGATCGCCTCGACGACCAGCCACGCGTTGCTCACAGCACTGGCTAGGTCCTGGTGAGCCGTAGCGGTGCCGACCTTATGACTGTGAGCCTTGGCTGCGGGGTAAGAGTTTACGTTCTGCTTGACGTATTCGACGCAGGCCGTGCCCTGCTCGGCATTGTGCTCTCGAATTTGGACGTCATAACCTCCGGACGCTCAGCAGGCCGCTGCAACCAGTGGTCAGCATCGCGGGGCAACCACACAAAGATGGAACACAAGGGTCATCCAGTGCCCTTCTCACCGATGCGGCGACCGAGAACACCTCCACCCAGTACGGCGACTGGCTAGTCCTGTAGTCTAGTGGAACAGCCCAAGAAGAGGCCATTATGGCAAGTTGTAAGATTTTACAAGTAAACTAGAAGCTAAATAGAGAAGCAGGTGGTGAGGTAGCGAACAAGTTGAAATTTTTCTGGTGGCTGTCCAGCAAAGGCCGATCATGTTATATATGCAGCAGCATCAACCTCCGCAGCATGTAACTCGTTCAACTCTGGTGCATCTGTTTTAGTCTATTACATGTCACAGTATGTCATATATCCATAGAGATAGGTAAGGCAAGCTGCAATGGTATCGTTATTAAAGTGGGGATGTTCGCATTGCGCCCACTGTTTCCAGCGGCTCTGGCGCCCGTGCACATCTCTTTATATGTACAGAGTAATACATTATTCAGTGGATTACCTTATCTAAACAGCTGCCTACTTTGGTTTAAGATTGAGATTTTCAACTGGACTTGGCGAGCGATGGCAAGGAACATGAATGGGGAGCTATAGATTCCATAAGCCTGCTCATCCTATTGATTTAATAATATCAAATACAGTGTCGCGCAGATGCTTGAAGAAGAATAGCGGTAGTGACATAAGATCGAGGCATTTTAGCAGTGTACTGATTAGCAACAAAATCTAAGCGTCATAGATTTTTATCGCAGTCACCTGCGAGGTACCAACACCGAGGTACCAACATACTACAATAAGGTAGCCATGTAGTGTTGTAAATTATTTTGCTATTGCGTTATATCAAAAATAGCTATGTATACGCAATCAATAGTACGTTGTGAATATTATGCGTTCGTGACGTGATTCTCTGTTACTGGGGACGATACTGTCCGGCTCTAGAGGCATGCTCACCCTTCTCTTTGGTCGGCTGTTGCATCGCGTGTCTCTGGTTGGTTATGTCAACACCAGGTGGGACGCCGCTGGGACACCACTGGACATTTCCCGAAACGCCGCCGACCCAAAAGTAATAATAAGAGTACGCCGACCTGGTAGACTATATGTTCTGCATGCCTGTCTGTACCCCGGCAAGGATTTCTTTCATGGCAGGGCGTACTGGAAGATGGTGAGGACTTTTGTCCAACACCCTTATATCCCAATTTTGTGGACCCGGTTGTGATGTGAGTGTCTGGAAACTCAAACGTCCAGCTGGGCCCCAAACCGTGTCCCGCAAATTCCGGCCGCTAATTAATTACGGGTACTGACCAGTAGATTGCCGCGTAGAGTCATATCTATGATCATTTCACCTTGGAATTATGAGACGGAAATGCTAGAAACCTCGCCGCAGCAGCCGTTTAAACCTTTCTCGTCTTTAATTAGTCGAAGCTAAAGCCAGGAGCTTGATTTCCAACCAGAGGCAAAATGTCCCGTACTCAAAGGTTCTGCAGACAAATGACGTTCCTTTAGAGTAGCCAAGATGATCGACGAAATAAAGAGCTTCCAGGCAGCGTCCTATTTATAAGATATGCTCGTACGAACATTCTCAAGCGTTAGCACACATTACGGCGAGTCATCTACTCGTATTGTGTTCTCTTCGTCACTTTCACACCAATCTCGGGAATCGAGAGGCAAACCGTACTGCAGCCTTAGGAACTAACTGCTTTTTACGGTCAAATGTTTCGACAGTCATGCAGGGACCTCAGCCGGCCGAAGATGCCTCCTCAGATTCCCAGCTTCAACCGAACGGCCGGCCCACCCACGGCCGAATTATCGGCTACAAGTACCTTGAAAAGCAGGGTGACAAGTCCAGCCGTCCTCCTCACGGCAACCTTGAGAAGGTTGACGTCGACATACCAGAGACGACAACGGAGCTCCGAACCATCAAGGGCGAGGAGTACGTGGTTCTCGGGTTCACCCCGGACGACCCACAGGACCCATTCAACTGGACTAGGAAGCGGAAAGCAACTATCAGCATAGCGCTCTGCTTGATGACCTTGTTCGTCGGTCTCGGAACAACAGCATACAGCTCGACTATCGCGAGAATGACGAAAGATCTGGGCGTTTCAGTTGAATTGGGACAGCTGGGACTGTTCACGTTCAATATGGCCTGCGCCTTGGCTCCCCTATTCCTAGCGCCGTTCTGCGAGATGGTTGGCCGGCGAATCGTCTATGTCAGCGCCTTTGCCTTGTACATCGTTGTATTCGTTGGGCTCGCTCTTGGGCATAACATCGCAACCATCCTGGTCATGCGTACGCTCTCTGGCCTGTTTGGTTCCGTTGGCACTATTCTAGTCGGCGGTACATTCAGCGACATATACAGGCCCGACTTCAGGGCGAGGCCAATGGCGCTGTTCTCGTACGTTGCCATCCTTGGTACCGTGGCCGCCCCAATCTACGCCGGCTTCATCGACGAAACCCTGGGATGGCGATGGGTAGAGGGCATCCAAGGCCTGGCAAGCGTACCAGTCCTCATCTTCGTCTTCTTTGTCCTTCGGGAGACTCGTGGTAGCGTCACTCTTTCCCACCGAGCAAACGCCTTGCGCGAGGCGACCGGTGACGAACGCTACAAGACGGAAGTGGAGCTGCAAGAGACCAGCCTGAAGAAGATGCTGCATGACTCCAGCGTGAAAGCTGCGCACATGCTTGTGACGGAGCCTGTCGTTTTCTGGTTTGGATTGTGGATTGCTTTTGCTTGGTTTGTGACCTTCCTTTTCCTTTCGGTAATCCCAATCACCTTCGAGGAAAAGCGCGGATGGCGCGAAGGTATAGGTCAGTTTAAGAGCCCAAAACCCGTTCATGTGCAAGACTAGTAGTTCTAATTGCGGACGACAGCTGGGCTGCCATACATCTCTCTCTCCATTGGCTCGACTCTAGGATTTGCGGCCAACTTCCTTCAAAGCTGGAAATACAACTCTGTCTCAAAGGCGTGCAAAGCAAAAAACGTCCCAGTTCCACCAGAAGCTCGCCTGTATGGTGCCATGTTTGGTGCTTGCTTCCTCCCGATTGGCCTGTTCATCTACAGTTTCACTCAATACCGTGGCCTTAGCTGGGTTGGTCCCGCCATAGCGCTCGCGCCTATTGCCTTTGGGATTTTCTTTATATTCGAGTCGACTTACAGCTACACGTCTGACTGTTATGGAGAAAGCTCCTCGTCCGCGATTGCCGCTCAGGGCTTCTTCCGCAACACTCTCGGGGCTGTCTCGCCTCTTTTCGCTTCTCAGTTCTTCCACAACGTTGGGAGCCAGTATGCTGGTCTCATCCTCTCCCTCATTGGCACTGTTTTGTCTTTTATCCCTCTTATCATGTTCAAGTACGGTCCCGCTCTTAGGGCCCACTCTCAACTCGCTAGGACAGTCAAGGAGGGATAATAAGCTTAGTGGATGTTGTGAGAAGCATGTAGGCAGAGTGAAGAAATAGCTACATTTTTGTCTATGACTTGCGCCTCGCTTAACACGTCACTTATTAACGCTATGCATAGGCAGGTTTGCTACATAAAACCTAAACATACTCTTTACAAGCAAGCAGCAAGTCTATAAGACATTAATTAAGCAACTAAGCTTGTAGTATGCATTTATTTGCGCTGGCTGTTGATCATGTTGTGGCTGGGCTCTTGTGCCTTTTGATCATACGGATGGAGAAGGGTCTTGCGTCTGAGGTGCTGAAATGGGGGCGTGAGAGTCGCGAGGACGACGAGGACGCGATGAAGCCACTCCTGGGCGACCGGAATGGAGAGGGTTATATTGCGACTGACAGGAGGATCATCCGGTTCGCGGACATTTCGTGGCGTGCGCACAACGTCCTGCTTCTCGTCCTCGCGATCATCACCATCTGGTGGAATATCTGGCTGTCGCCGAATCACGAACGCTAGGCGGTGGGCGCGCTGGTGGTGCAGTGGTTTGGGCATGATACCGGTGTTGAGGAACCCTTCACGGGCGAGAACGGAAAACATATAGTGCCTTGGGCATATATCGGTGGCGCCGATTCGGCTTGCAGCGCGCCCCCGAGTTCCGCCGGGGATGCCTCATCTCGCGCCCGGACTGGCCTTCTCAATACACAGCTACGATGACAGGTCAACAGCCCCGATTTGACTAAGCTGCGGCTGCTCGAAAGATTCCGCTAGGCGTTTGGAAGCAGATGAGAGATCTATTCTGCCACGGCATTGACAGGAGTCCACAATGACGCGTATACCATAACTGACGTCCTCTTGTGGCTGAGCGAGCCTTGTCGTTTCAGAGACGCGTCACCCGAGTTCATGTGCTTCAATTCCACCATTACTACGGAGCAACTCAACCATTCTATCGAAGCGGCGATCAAGCTTTGGTACCTCTGCGTTCCCACGCGACAACAAGTGTCAGTTATAATTCATCGAGCGAATGTGGGACATCCATTTAGGACTTACCTGGTTTCGAGATTTTTTCCTGCCCAGATCCGGCTGCAGACCGGCGAAGGTCCAGTACTTCATCCAAAGGCGTCTTCGGCTGTCTTGTCATTACCCTGTCGCTAGCAATCTCCTTGTAGACGACTGCATTGACAGTGACACCGGCATGAAGCAAGATAGACGCGCTTTCAACTAGTCTAGCACGAGCAACATGATGTAATAATGTTTTGTTGGTTGACTAGGAGTCTACCGACCAGATATAAGGCTTTGGGCGAATTGAAGGATGATTAGTAGGATTGGTGAAGCTTGAGAGGCTAGGGAATGCAGGAAGCAGGAAGACATAAGGTAGAGCGTGAGGCAAATACGGAGCTGGTAGGTTGAGACGACGGCGCATGCCCGGACGCTCGTGGTGGTCGTGTGTCGCTAGCTTAGGGGCTGTGATACGGAACCTGTGTAAGGCGCTTCCTCTCCTCCAGGTCCCTATCTCAGTGTCGATCAAGGTGTGCCCGACGTTGTCACGACTCAGGCAGTTTTAACCCAAGCACAACTCCTTGCTCTAGGTTTGCCTAGGTTTGACATTTAACGATTAACTCATCCTTATACTTACGGTACTGTCTCCCTCGCCCTTGGCATCTATAAAGCGGTACATCCGACTTAGAAAGAGCGGCCTTGAATCCAGAGCGGGTCGAGAGTGTCAATGTTATGGATGCTATTCTTGCTTGTCATTGTGATGCATAGCGTTGCGGACGACTAATCGTCACATGGACTACAAATGCCTCAGGACGACCCAGAAAATGGACGGGAGATGGGTAGCCGGCATATGATTTGGCACTGGACGAAGCAGTTCCCATCTTCTAACATCCCGCCGGAGATAATGTTTGCTTAAAAGACAACGAAGCCGTTTCGACCGGGCGAATCCAAGTCAATGCGTTCGGCATACAGTATGATGAGTCTCCCAATCTCCAGCGAGGCCAAGGTGGTGTCGAAACCCCAGTCCCGTGGCTAAGAAACAGGAGAGACTAAAGACGAATTTACCAACCCTGGACATAGATATGGATTGTGGCTGAAGAGTATTACATGGGGCGTGGAATATTGTGTAGTTATCACTACCTGCTGTGCAAAACCGCGTGTTCTACCAGGCCAGGCCATGGCGCCCTTCAAATTATGCCCCTTTCTAGAAATTTTGTGGGAATCTCGACATGCTTTGCACCTGAGAGAAACCTAATCAGCTGACAAACCCTTGGCATGGGCGGGGAAGAAGAAGAAAGAAACAAAAAAAAAGCAAAATAAAAATAAACCAAGTAACTGGGCCACTTACGGAGGAACTCCCCAAAGCTCTTGGCCAAGCCGTCCAGCCTGTAACTAGAACTGATGCCTCCTTCCAGGACGCCCTTGACTAGGAAGTGGACGCAGCGGATGTTGGGCATTTCAAACCGTTCAATAACATACGAGTCCTTGTAGTCATCGGCAAGCAGTTTCTTGAACGAGCCAACGCTGAGAAGCGACCGGAGCCATTCGTACTCATCGTCCTCGAGTGCCCAAAAACCGACGTTCGCATTGGAACCCTTGTCTCCGGACCGGGCGTGCACTCTGTAGCCCAACGGTGCTGTCTTGGTAGGGCCGTACTTGTCTGCGACGAAGCCGGACTGCGAGTCACAGAGCTTCTGGCCGCCGAAGGGAGCTACCCCTGAGGGTGCAGGAACGTCGACGGTCTGGCCGCCTAACACCATCTGCACGGATAGGCGGCTGTATTCGACCAGGAAAGGTTCGTATACGATGAATGGGCGCGGCGTCATCTGTAGCGGGGATTAGGGTTGTTAATATTCAGCAGAGGGGTAAAAATCTCCTGTGGAGGGCCATCCCATCACTCACCATACGGAAGTCCATGCAGCTGTGTTCGCCACAATAGCCGCCCAGTCCGTAACCGCCGATTGCCTGCGGGAGTGTCGAGAGAGTCTCGGCCTTGTCGGCCTGACCAAACACGCGGAACATGCACGTGGCGAGCGCCTGAGATGCGGGGTTCTGCTGTGGCACGCCGTACTGGTCGACGCGAAGGACCCGATAGTCCGCGCTGTTGTGGATGTTCTCGTTCAGACTCCCTTGGAAGTCTGCAAGCTTTTCGGCAATATCCAGGCCTGTCGCGAAGAGGTATACTTCCACCTGGAAACCACCGAGACCACAGACCGCAAGCTTGGTAGTCGGCGGCGGCGGCATTCCGCGGACTTGGGAAACCGTCACCCTGTCCTTTTCGGTTAGCCGGGGGGAGGAAGTTTACGACGACAGATGTTTATATATATACACACACATTGGCCTTTTTTTTGTTGGGAGGGGGGGGGTGTTGAAGAGAGGGGGAGAGCGAGAGAGAAAAAGAGAAAAGTTACATGCCTGTTTTTGCTTTTGTTGGTCACCTTGACGTTATGGATATCGGCAATGACGTCCGGGTTTAGATAGTACGGGCCCTAGATTCGACGATTCAACGATTTAGCCCCAGTTAGGTTCGATTATGTAGCCTATTGTCCAAATAAACCCCTGGGCGGCGATTATTTACCTGGATCTCATAGACGAGCTGGGCCGTGATCGTGTCTCTGCTGACCATGCCCCTGGCTCCGTCTTGGAGGTAGATATCGAATGTCCCGTCGGCCATGATTTCTGCGATTGGGAATCCTTGGTTCCAGTTGTTGGGGATGGACTTGAATCCGGAGAAGTTGCCTCCAGTGGCGTAGCAGCCACACTCGATGCAGTCTGCAGGAGATAACACGCTTCAGCCGGGGATAATACGGAGACGGGGAAAGGAACTACGTACGTCCGGCAATGAGGGCTTGGGCCAGTTCGTCGAGTTTTGTCTCGTCCCAGCCATGCCACCACGCAGCGGCGCCTAATGAGTCGAGGCAAGTCGCTCGTCAGCTCCGTACATGAGATAATCACTACAGGAGGAGAGAGAAAGAGAAAGAAAGAGTCGCTCTTACCCATGAGCGGGCTTGCATCACAGCACCGACCGCAGACCACAATGTCGGCGCCCGCCTCGAGGGCGGCAACAATGCCGCCCATGCCGATGTAGGCGTTCGCGCTGAGGGCGGGGTTGTCAAACTTGGACAAGTCTCGCCCCGCGGTGTCGAGATGGCCCACCTTTCCCGGCGTCTTCAGCTCGTCGAAGATGCCCAAGAGGTCGTCGCCTTTGACGTAGGCAACCTTCAGTGTCGTCACGCCGAAGTCGGCTAGCTGGGCCTCGATGGCCTTGGCCAGTCCCTCCGGGTTGAGCGCACCGCCGTTGTGGATTACCTTGATGCCCTTGTTGGCGATGATGTGCGCCGTCTCCTTGTCGAGCTGCTTCAGGAAGCTCTTCTCGTAGCCTTTTGTAACATCTTGCCGTCTCTCCAGTGCGAGCCACGCTTAGAGGGCCGTTCAGCATATGCTATTGTTGCTGCCGCTGAGGGCTTGCTAGGCAGGAGAGATGGGGATGGTGATGGCTCTTACCCATGTTTACTTCAGCCAGGTAATCCGCGGTCACCACATCAACGGGCCCTTCTCTTACTATCCGACGCAGGGCCAGCGGTCCGTCCCCTGCTCAGCCTGAATTAGACCTGGGGGCTTCCTGGTGTGAGCATGCTCTGGGGCGGGGGGACCCTGACTAACCTGTTGCGCCACTGCAGTTCCCGATCCGGATAGGTCGGCGTTGAGAAGACATTGTTAGGTCAATAACCAGGCAACACCTGGTTCCGGTGCAGTGTGATGATGATGATGATGATATGATGGGTTGGTTTGAGGAGGCACAATGTTATAGTCGGGTCTGCGGACGGCTATATGTCTGGAATCCCCTGGTGTGAATATACGTACATATTAGAATATAAGGGAAAATTCATGTGGGTGTGCAGAGGGCGGAGGCCGAGGCACAGCGCGCATTATTTCCGACTGGTCCACAAATGCGGAGCTCGGCAGTTTATACCCCGCGACTAGTGGTGACCAAGTCAGAAATATCCGAGTGAGATATTTCTGACACACTGAGGGGGCCAGCGGAGCAAGGCGGCTTGGCTGCTTGTGGATGGGGGATTGGGATCTGGACCCTCTTCGGGCTGATTTTCCCTTATAGTCATCCGGACACGATTCCCAGCTAAGAAATGCGCTGCACCCGGCTATTATTATTACCTTGATAGTGGGTTTGGATCCGGATTTCTTTGTGTGAGCAACGAGCAACTGGACAGAGAAGCGGCCTCTCTTCTTGGAACTTCGTGGCCATGATGTCAACGGATTATTCCCTACAGAAGGAGGCGGGGAGGATCCTGCATGAGGTCCTCCTCAAAGATGACCGCCTCGGCCTGCCTCAGAAGGTCAAGGACATAGCGTCCAAGACGACCTTCGACTCCTCCGCCATGTCGACGCCGTTCATCCCGGCGCCCCTGAAATTCACAGAATCCAGCGCCGCCCTGTGGGGGCTCGCGGCCTCGATCGGCAACGCCATTGTGAAGGAGCGCTTCGGCATCGAGCAGGGCGTCTCCATCAACACCGACATTGCCAGTCTCTTCCTCGGCTCCGCCGCCATATGCCGCGTCGACGGCAAACCCATCTCCGACCCCGGAATCGCCGTCCGGTGCCAGAAGTACGATCTCGGCCGGACGAGTCAGCCGTGGCGGCGCCTCTGCACGAATGTCTATCCGACCAAGGACGGGCGCTATTTCCACCTCCACGGCAGCATGAACGCGGATAAGACGCTCGCCATGGTGGGTCTCCCCGAGGAGAGGCACGAGCTGACGTCGGTGGACGACGTGATCCGGGAGTACTGCGGCGTGATTTCGCACTTGGACAGCGAGTGGCTCGACACCGAGGCCAACCTGCATTGGCGGCAGGCCGGCACCATCTGTCTGACGCCGGAGGAGTTCCGCGCCTCAGAACAGGGCAAGGCCATAGCGGATGATGCCATCTTCTCGCTCGAGCAGTCCGCCACGGACGTGCTACCGCCGGTGCCCTACCGTGCCGTCGACCACAACAACAGCAACAGCAACAACAAGTTCCGACCGCTTGAGGGGATCAAGATGCTCGACCTGTCGCGCGTCATTGCCGCGCCGACCATCGCCAAGCTGGCAGCCCTGTTCGGCGCCACCGTTGTGCGCGTGTCATGCGCGTCACAGCCGGACATGGGCCCGCTACTAGTCGACGGCAACCTAGGCAAGTACGACGTGTCTCTGGACCTCAAAAGCGACAGCGGGCGCGCCAAGCTGCGCAAGCTCGTCTACGACGCCGACGTCGTGCTCGACGGCTATCGGCCACAGGCGCTGGAGCGCCTCGGCTTCGGCGTCGACTACCTTCACACGGTGGCGCGGCGCCGCGGCCGCGGCATCGTAGTCGTCCGTGAGAACTGCTACGGCTGGCACGGCCCCATGGCGAACCGCTCGGGATGGCAGCAGATCTCCGACTGTGTGACGGGGTGCAGTTGGCTGATGGGCAAGTTCCTCGGCCTGGACGAGCCCGTGGTTCCGCCTCTACCCAACTCGGACTATCAGTAAGCGATATCCTCACGGCAGCGTAGCAGTGTGCGTAGCAACATGGCAGTGTGCCGTGGACTTCCCGAGATGTGCTAACAATCTCTTGTCGACAATAGGACTGGAGTTGTCGGGCTCGTGGGCATTCTCCTCGCCGTAGACAGGCGAGCGCATGAAGGCGGCAACTATCTCGTCGATGTGTCCCTCAACCAGTTCAACCAGTTCCTCATCTCGCTCGGGGAGTACCCGGCCGAGATCCAAGACTCGCTGAGGAAGCTGCATCCCAACTTCAAGCCTCGCCATTTTGACGACATGAACTCCCTCGTTGCCAAGGTTTTCACGTCACTCTACGCCGGAACTCCGCAGCTCTTCCAGCCGAAGTACTTTGACAACATTAAGAGTAACTTCGGGAAGCGGGACGGCGAGCTGGAGACGCTGACGTACGTTGGGTCGGCTGCTTCATACGACAAGACGAAGCTGGGATACGATGTTGGGAGCTGCTTCTTGGGAACGTATGAGCCAGTGTGGCCGCAAGGGGCGTGATAGATGGGGACTGTAGATACTTGGACATAATTATTGAACAAGCAAGGGATGGGATGATTATTAAACAAGACAGCGCATCGATCGCCGTAGAAGTTGCCAGGATAGCTAATTCCATCCACCGCTACGCCTCAAACCGGCACCATGTGCACTTGCGTCCTCCCTGAGACCAGAACAGGGAATGACATCTCCCCGGCGCTGTCGGCAGTTACCGTCTTGTCATCTCCGATCGCATACTTCGCACCCGGCCGGAGACGGGAACTAGGCTGCCTCATCCCCTGGCCATCTACATCTTCAGCTCGGACAATGCCCAAGTTGACGAGAGTAGGTCAAATTTCCCAGCTCCAGTAGTTCTTTGACAAGTTGTTCGCCGCTTACAAGGGCACCCTGACGCCAGTTCAACGCAACACCATGTCCGGAGGTGTGACCGTCAACGACGTGCTCATGCATGCCGGAGTACCGGGCACCCCGTTCGGCGGCGTTGGCGAGTCGGGTATGGGGTACTACCACGGAAAACACAGATTCCTCGCCTTCACCCATACCAGGATATTCGTCTTGCCGTCCACGTGGCTGGATAGGTTGATGTCCTTCCGGTATCCTCCGTTCGATGTTCGGCACAGTAGCAAGTTGGCCGTCAAGAATCGTCTCGGGTTCAAAAAAGGGAAGACGATGGAAGACCAGCGAATCAAACCTTGGCCCCCGAGGAAGACTGCGGCCTAGCTAAAGATTGCGATGCTACTTATCGGTGTGGCTGCTATTTATGTTTACAAGACCGGAAACTTGTATCAGTTGTATGATAAGCTGCCATAGTTTCGAAGCTAGACTTGTAGTGTAATACAATGAGCTAGAGACTCGAATATTGTTCATCAATCTAATCAGTATTATTTACCTCTTGCGCTTCCGCTCGTTTGCGCACAAGCGCAGTGAAAGTTATGTGCCACTCCTTGATGTACATACAAGTCGAGTTCCCCCAACACTCTCCGGCAAGAGCCTGGGATCCGGCCCCGCGGGTCAATGAGAAATCCGCTTGTCCACTTCACTGACGGAGTTCGGAGGCTCAGCTGTGTCCATTAGATTGCCCGGTTGCCGAGCAGCAATAAATAGTGACGGCTGCGAACATCCCCCCCCCCCCCAATCCCCAGGCGGTTTGCGGGGTGCCGTACCTCTGCCGTCAGAAATGTCTGACGGCCATTTCCCCATCCAAAATCCAATGCAGTTTAGCCAGGAATATAATGTAGTCGCTAGGGGGCAGTAAAGATCACCCAGATAACCACCAAAAAGTTAGAATAACCAACAGTGCAAATCTGTCCGCATACTCCAGTAGAAAAAGAAACTACCTGCTTTTCTGCGTCCCGATTCAAGGCGGGCGATCAGTTAGTAGCAGTTGATTGCACATCATCACGAGCAAAAAGATGTCCGAAGACAGCGCCCGGGCCTTTCTAGACCCCCGGAAACTCTTGACCCCCATGGTCGCGGCCGTTAATACGGCATACCAGGCAGCCCTCGAGTGCCAGCCTATGCCGCCATGGCTCCGGAACGCGCTCATCCTCTCCGGCCTCGCACTCGCGTGGCGGATCAACTAACGTCTGACTTCCCAAGCACTCAACAACACCGTAGATGCCAAGTTTGACTGGAGCAGGGAGATCGTGAACTGGAAATTTATTCACCCAAAAGGACCTTTTCCGTCAACAACCTGGCCATGCTCTGGACAGCCAAGACATTCCTCCTCAACATGGCGGAGCACAACCACGGCCACTTCTTAATCGTGGCCTCGCAGACCGGGTACGTGGCGACGGCCGGCCTGACGGACTACTCGGCCACCAAGGCTGCCGCCATCGCCATCTACGAGGGCCTACATTCCGAGATGAGGAACCTGAACCGGGCGCCGGCCGTGCGCGTGTCCTGCGTCTCGCCCAGCGCCGTCGACACCAAGATGTTCTCCGGCATCAAGCTGAACGGCGGCATGAAGTCGCTCACGCCCGAGGAGCTGGGTGATGCCATCGTCGACGTGCTACGCAGCGGCAAGGCGCAGCATATCCTCGTGCCGAGGAGCGCGTACCTCGCCACGCCGACGAGGATGTTGCCTGACTGGTTGCGCGTGGTGATGCAGGATGGCGCCATCGGCGTGTTTACTAATCTAAAGCCGCATAATCCCATGGCGGATTCGTGAACTTGTGTACGGGAGCATGACTGCGGGAGCTTGGGACTGCGGGAGCTCGGGGCTGCGATGGGAGACGAGGGTTTTCCAGAGAGAAGAGCCGAGAGTTTTTGATGTGTGGCTTTGCTCCCCTGCCATCTTGGACGTTTTGCACAGAAGGACCATGCTCTCTGTGTAAGCAGGGAATTGCAAGAACGGAATTTTCGTGAAAGGTACTCTAGCTGTCAGCTTTTTCTCACCATACTACTCCAATTATTTACTAAAGAGTTACTAAGGATAGACACCCCAAACCTCCACCCCCTGTCTGCTCCCCTGTCTCCTCCCCTGTCTCCTCCCCCTGTCTACCCGCTTCTTCCTGCTTTCTCCCTCTCACCTGTCAGAACTACAGTGGGTGGCACTAGGTTTGAATCCAAACCAATGTATTAAATCTAACGCTAGTCGTCGCTTAGCAACCCACTTAGTATTTTCTATGAGCTCTGCTAAGTGCAATAGCTTGTTTCGCTACATATATTAATTAAGTTTTGCATAACTATAGCTTAATTTGGCCTAGTGCTGGATTTGGGGACTAGTATAGTGCAGCAACTTCCCCCCCCCGGCATGTGTCCGTCAATGCCAGCTTGTCCTTGAAAGGGCCCAGTTATGCACAGTGACGATTGTACCCCGCTGTTTCCTTTCACCCTTTGTATATCCAAGCCACTACCTATTGCGGGTGTGAGGAACGGAGCCTTTCACCGATACCTACGTCCGTACACTAGCTGTTCTTAATTCACGGCGCATTACTGTATCATGGTACCGCCACACGAAACGTATCCACAACCACGAAGGTCATCGCGATCACAAACATACCTTGTTGTACAGATATAGGGCTCGGTTAGTCTGTGCGTGAAAGAAAACAGTCACGAGTTTCTGATATTGCAATTCCGAGCCTTTCGGGCCGACTTTCTGCGTCTGCCCATATCTCCCCTCTGGCTTACTGACTCTTGACAGCCTGACATTCAAAGATAGTTACATACTGCTTCGCAGAGAGATGAAAACTCCAGTGTCACTAATGAGCAGCCACTAAACAGCGAACAACATGTGCTGATGGTAATACCTACGCCATCCCTCGTAACACTTTACAACTCCGTGCTCTGCTAATTCCATTTCCTGACTCAAATTGCTAGCCAATAGCCATAACCTTTGCGCCCCACGCGTATTTTCCTTCTTAGATAGAGGCTACATGGATCGTAGCCAAACGAGTGAACTCCGTATGCGCCGTAGAAGAGGGACGCCTGTTCGGTCATAGTCTAGCTTATCTCTCATAGATAAAGATCGGATAGACGGGGCGCCATGTCGCACTTCGCCGCAACTGTTGAATCGTTATTGTGAGAAAAATAAAAAATAAAATAAAATTGCAAAAGAGCATACATATCGCGCCGCTCGCGAGCAGAAGACATACCTGAAGAGCAATCAAGGAAAGCGTACTTCCTCGCGAACTCCTTACTGAGCCTCCACTCGCTCACCTTCGCCAGCCCAAAGAAGCTGGCGACATCGCTCTTGCGGAACCTGCGGTCATACGCCACCAGCGGCGTCTCCAGGTCGTCGGCGGGACCGTCGAGATCGCGCTGCTCGGGCTCCGGCACCATGGCGGCCAGCGGCGGGTTCTGGCTCTGGCCGAACTTCCGGACGCACCGAGCTAGCTGCCGGACCAAGGCCTCCTCGACGGGGTCGGGGACGGTGGGATCGAAGTCCGCGTCGAAGGTGTTGATTTCGAAGAAGGCCCAGTCCGGCTGGAAGAGGGAGCCGCCGCCGCCTCCGCCGACCCGCTGGGGCGTGCGCGTCAGGATGCGGTTCTGGAACAGGTCCCACACGTTGACGGCGATGTTGCGATGCGGCAGGTCAACGACCGTATTCAGCACGACGTCTCGGACCAGCGTGTCGAGGTCGATGTTATCCAGGTTAAGTAAGATCTGGTCGCGGAGGTCCGGCCAATTGAAGAAGTCGATGGCGAGGTGCATCCGCGCGTGGCTGGATTGTAGGGGCGTGGGACGGAAAGGCAGAGGGACGCCGGAACGGTTGCCTTTGCCGAGGCGCCAGTTAAGCACTTTCTCCATGTAGTGTGCTCCGTTCTGCGATAGCATAGGAACAGCCGTTTGATTAGCGTTTGGGTTGGGTGGGGGGGGGGGGGGGGGGGGGGACCAAAACCCCCCCCAACCCAAGTAAAATTTTTTTTTTATTTTAAATACCACCCCTTATCTGAAACCACAAAAACCGGCCCCCCCCCCCCCCCCCCCCCCCCCCCCCCCCCCCCCCCCCCCCCCCCCCCCCCCCAGCATTCAGCGCCCCTAGCCAAGGAAGAGTTTTTCTTTCTTTGACTTACCACGCCGTAGAGGTACGACTCTAGACCGGACCTCGTAGCCAGCAGGTTCACTGCTGCGACCGCGATCTGCCCCGCTAATTGCTTCTCTGTGAGGTCGCATAAGCCTGGCAGATCACGAGCCCTTGCAATGAGATTGATGGAAGCATGCAAAATCTTGTCCGCAAATACAGTGGACGACCTGATTGCGATAGCATCCAGGTTGGGCAGGGTCGGCAGCGGCGAGGGCATGCGGTTCGAGGAAGCGTTGAGGCCGAACTTGTTCATTAACGGGTCGAAGAAGGCCATCGACTCGAGTGCCTGTTCGTCGGCGTATTCGACTGATGCCAACAGTTCCATGTTCTGGAACGACTCGGGACCAAGACAGGCCATTCCGAGGCCCGAGCCATCTCCAGGTTGGTTCGGCGCCTCCGACGACTCGGCGTCGTTCTTATCCGGGGGCGGCGTTTTCGAGAAGAACGTGCTACTATCCTGCATCGCACAGGAAATCGACGAAGCAAGACCCGGCGGGCTGCTGGAGCTCGACGAACCTGGTGCCGGCGGGCTGCTGGTCGTGGCTCTCTTGCTCTCCCGATTCAGTAGCCGGTCGAAGATGGGGTCGTCTGTTAAGGCACGGGGCCAAGGTTAGAGAGGGTTCAGCAAGGCAAGGAGAGCAGAAAGAGAAGAGAAGAAAAGAGAAAAGAGGGGGAAAAAGGGATGCGTACCTGCTGCGGTAGATGCGGAATTGGACATGCTCAGAAGCTTCTTCCTGAGACGAAACAGGGCCTCCTCCAGGAACCGGTTCTCCTCGATAAGCTTCATGTGCGACTCGAGAAGAATGCTGTACCGCTCCTTACTGTCCGCATCGCTTCCCGACCTCATGGCCTGAACGACGCTCTCCAGGTGGCGAGCACTCGCGGCGTGCCGTTCGCGGAGGCACTGCTGGGAAATCCGGTTTTGCGCCCGCTTCCGCTCGTTCTGGAGGCCACCAGCCTGCCGCTTGGAGGCTCTTCGAGGACCGTTGTTTGCCGGCATCGGCGGAATTTGAGACTTGACGTGGTGGACAAGAAGGGGAAAAAAAGAAGGATGGGAGGTTCAATCTGTGCGTTGGCAATCCGTTCGTTCTTCCAGCGACGGCAGGAGGATGCTCCGGCGGGGAGGAGAATTAGTTATGCAAGCGGCCTGGTAGTAATCCCCGCTATTACCGAGGTTCCCCCAATGACCCCAGTGGGCTCGGCCCCCCGCAGGTCTGAGCTAGACTGCTAGGCTATTGGCCAATGGTGGGCTTCCCCCGCCATACGCTTCCCCAAACTCAATCTTTGATGGGCGGGGAACGATTCTTGGTTAGTGCGCAACTGCCAACAGAAATCAAGAGACTTCCCGGCCTTCCCTCCCCTCTCTCCGGCCAGGATTGGGTTTTTTGCTCATCCATTAAGCTCCCGAAAGGCCAGCTCACCAATAAGCAATATTTAGCGCGGCGGTCGCAGGTTATTTCAATCCGTAGCATCGCTGGAATTGACTAGCAAAACAGCTCACAAGTAAGGAGTCTAATAGTGGTTAGGTCACACGTCTAGATAAAGGGTCTATGTACGGCCACGAAAGAACGTTGAAGATTGACAAGAATTGATTCACAACCTAGTTCTGTTAGGCGGCCACTAAAGCGGCCGCAGCGGCTATTGGTGCTTCTATCCCAGAAGTTCCGTTTGCTACAGATACAGACTTGGCCTTGGTGCTGTCAACAGGAGTCCCGCTTGCGGCAGGTGTTCCCTTCCTGCCGCTCCGCTTCAAGATAGGATCGACGGGAGCGTCGTCCGAGTTGCGGATGTAATAGCTCAGGTCCCCGTCGAGGGTCTCGGCACTGCTGTGTCCGTTGCCGAGGTAAATGAACCGATTCTTCGTCGGGTACGTGAACGACCAGTCCTCCCAGCGAGGTTCCTTTAGCGCCTCGAGGTAATGCAGTGTCGAACCCGGCCACAGAGCGAGGATCTGTCCAGACGCTGACCCGGCTTTATACCAGGACCGGCAAGCCTCAGTCCAAACTGTACGCGCGCGGAGGTTAGACTGGATGTACATCACCACACACACCGGACACTACTGATGGACAGGGGGCATTTCTGGTCCACTTACTGGTGTCATCCATGAACATGTCCTTCCAGTCATTGAAGTCCTTCACGGCCTCGGACTTGACATCGAATGAACGAATGTTCTCCTTCTGGAACTTGGAGAGCATCTTGATGATGTACTCCACCTCGGCCTCGATCGCAATCAGGACCGGACCGTTGCCGATGGGGCAATTGGGCCCGAGAGTGAGGAAGTAGTTGGGGAACCTGTCGGCGGCGATTCCTAAATAGGCTTTCGGTTCATCTTTTTTGGGGGGGCGCCAAGTCAGCGTCAAGCGAAAGAAAAGACAAGAGGAAGAATAAGAAGTGAGAAGAGCGAAGAACGGCCATACCCTTCCACAAGGTGGTTAATGACTCTCCGTCTCGGCCCACGAGCGGAAACCGCGGCTTGAAAGTCGTGTCGAACCCGGTGGCGCAAATGAGGACGTCGATGGGATACTCTCCCTTTCCGTCGTCGCAGATGACGCCCGTCTCCGTGATCTGCGTGATCTCTCCAAACACGACCTTGACGTTCTCGTCGCTCAGCGACTCCAGGTAGTTTGTCCCCGGTGTCAGTCGCCGGCAGCCCACGGCCCAGTCGGGGATCAGCACCTTCTCGAGCTCCGGGTTGTTCAACTTGCTCTTCATCCGGTCCTCCATGTAGGCCCTGACCTGGGCCTGCTCCGTCGAGCCCGCGTGAAAGAGGGCGAAGCTGCCGTTGGCTCTGGCTTCGGCCTTCTTCCTCCTCTCCACGTGGTACGCCGGATCTGTCGCGAAGCGCTTCTTCTCCTCTTCTGAGTAGAGCTGATATGACTCCCCGAGCGGCGGGGCGACCCAGGTGGCCTCGCGTATGAAGGTCACGAGCTCCTTCACCTGGCTCTTGATGGCGGGGAGGATCTGGATGCCCGAAGACCCGTTCCCGATCAGGCCGACGACCTTGCCGCTGAGGTCGAGGTCCTCGGGCCATGCGGCCGAGTGGACCAGGGGGCCCTTGAAGGTGTCGATGCCCGGGATGGGCGGGTATCGCCACGCGTTCAGGATGCCCCCGGCATTGACGAGGACGTGCGCGGAGGCGATCTTCAGCTCGCCCGTCACGACGTTCTTGGCGGTCACATGCCACTCGGCGGCCGCCTCGTCCCACGTCGCGCTGATGACTTGCTGGTTGAACTCTATGTATTTGCCAAGGCCGTACTTGGTGCTGAAGTCCTTAAAGTACTGGAAGATCTCCTTGGAACTGGCGTAGTTGGCGCTCCAGTCAGTCTTGGGCTCGAAGCTCCACGTGTAATTATGGCTCGGAACATCGCAGGCGCAGCTAAAATGGGAGTTGACAATCAGTTAGCTCTTTGTTCAAATTAATTTAAATTGGTGATTGGCGCATAAATAAATAGAATAAATAGACGAAGCAAGCCCTTACCCTGGATATTTATTCTCGTACCATGTGCCGCTGACTTCCGGGTTCTTCTCTAACAACTGGAGGGAGAAGTCGTCGAAGTGCTTCTGCAGCTTGTAGGCCAAGAGCAGACCCGATGCCCCGGCGCCGATGCCAATAACCTTCAGTGTCCGGCGGGGTTGGAAGATGCCCGGGAGGGACCGATGGTCGATCGACATACCCATCGTTCAATATAATTTTTTTTTTAATTTTTTTTTTTTTTTTTTTTGGGGGGGGGGGGGGGGGGGGGGGGGGGGGTTTCGGGCCGGGAAACCAACCCCATGGTGGTGGGGGCGGGTGTGTGTTTTGTTTTGTGGGTTTGTTGTTGTGTGGGTGGGGTGGGAAAAAATT